AAAAAAAAAAAAAGAAAAAAGAAAAAAAAAGAAAGAAAGAAAAAGAAAAAGAAGTGCACTTTATTTTATGTATGTATGTATGTATGTATTTATTTATTTTGAGACAGAGTTTTGCTCTTCTTGCCCAGACTGGAGTGCAGTGACACGATCTCAGTTCACCAACACCTCCACCTCCCAGGTTCGAGTCATTCTCCTGCCTCAACCTCCCTAGTAGCTGGGATTACAGGCATGCACCACCACACCCGGCTAATTTTGTATTTTCAATAGAGACAGGGTTTCTCCATGTTGGTCAGGCTGGTCTCGAACTCCTGACTTCAGGTGATCTGCCCGCCTCGGCTTCCCAAAGTGCTGGGATTACAGGTGTGAGCCACTGTGCCTGGCTGGAAGTGTACTTTATTTTAATTTTATTATTCTTATATTATTTTAGGTAGAGTCTTGCTCTGTTGCCCAGACTGGAGTGCAATGGTGTGATCTCAGCTCACTGCAACCTCTGCCTCCTGGATTCCAGTGATTCTTCTGTGTCAACCTCCCAAGTAGCCAGGACTACAGGCGTGTGCCACCACACCTGGCTAATTTTTGTATTTGTGTGTGTGTGTGTGTGTGTGTGTGTGTATATATATATATATTTTTTTTTTAGTAGAGATAAGGTTTCATCATGTTGGCCAGGCTGGTCTCAAACTCCTGACCTCAAGTGATCCACTTGCCTCAGCCTCTCAAAGTGCTGGGATTACAGGGGTGAGCCTCTGCACCTAGCCTATCGTATTTTATTTCTGCTGCTGGCCCAGATGAAAGAAATGCACTTTGAAAGGAAATTTGGTATTGCTATACTAAATAGAAACAGTATCACTTCCAGAAATAAGAGGTACCTATGCCTGGTAGCCAAGTTAGCCATCAAACATATCCACACCCTAATCCCCAAAGCTTGTGAATGTATCACCTTACTGGGCGAAAGGGACTTTGCCGATGTGATCAAGAGTATGAATTTTGAGAAAAGGAGATTATTCTGGAGTACGTGGGTGAGCTCAATCTAATCACATGAGTCCTTAAAATTGGAGAACCTCACCAGGCGCAGTGGCTCACACCTGTAATCCCAGCACTTTGGGAGACCGAGGCGGGTGGATCACCTGAGGTCAGGAGTTCGAGACCAGCCTGGCTAACAAGGCAAAATCCCATCTCTACTACAAATACAAAAATTAGCTGGGCGTGGTGGAGCATGCCTGTAATCCCAGCTACTGAGGAGGCTGAGGAAGGAGAATCGCTTGAACCTGGGAGATGGAGGTTGCAATGAGCTGAGACTGCACCACTGCACTCCAGCCTGCGTGACAGGAATGAGACTCCATCTCAAAAAAAAAAAAAAAAAATTGGAGAACCTCTTCTGGCTGGATTAGAGAGATGTGATAACAGAAGAAGTCCAGAGAGATATGAAGTGAGGATTCAACCCTCCCTTGCTGGCTTTGGAGGGGGAGGATGGGGTCCTGAGCCAAGGTATGCCAGTAGCCTCTAGAAGCTAGGAAAGGCAAGGAAAGTGATCCTTCCCTGGAAACTCCATGAGGAAACTTCCTGCCAACACCTTGATTTTAACCCAGTGAGACCCACATTGAACTTCTGACCTACAGAGAAAAAATTTGTGTTGCTTTAAACTACTAAATTCTGATAATTTATTTAGTATCAATAAAAAACTAATACACTGTGCAAATAACAAAGAAAAATTTTAAAAATTAAATTTTAGCTAAATGTTGTTGCCTGTGTTATATGACTTAAAAAGTAACTGGGTAATTTATATCTTACTACAATGTCTTGCTTTCTTCAGGGTCTCACTCTGTTGTCCAGGCTGGAGTACAGTGACACAATCATGGCTCATTGCAGCCTCGACCTCCCAGCCTCAGCAAACCCTCCCCCCTCAGCCTCCTGATTAGCTGGGACTACAGGCTCATGCCACCTTACCGGGTTAATTTTTTTAAAAAAACCTTTTGTAGAAATGGAGGGTCTCACTATGTTGCCCAGGTGGGTCTCGAACTCTTGGCTTCAAGTGATCCTCCTGTCTCAGCCTCTCAAAGTGCTGAGATTATAGGTGTGAACCATCGTGCCTGGCCCACAGTTTTTTTGTTTTGTTGTTGTTGTTGTTGTTTTTTCTTTGAGACGGAGTTTTGCTTTTGTCACTCAGGCTGGAGTGCAATGGCACGATCTCAGCTCACTCCAACCTGCAACCTCCGCCTCCTGGGTTCAAGTGATTCTCCTGACTCAGCTTCCCGAGCAGCTGGGATTACAGGTGCCTGCCACCACGCCCAGCTAAATTTTGTATGTTTAGTAGAGATGGGGTTTCACCATGTTGGCCAGGCTGGTCTCCAACTCCTGATCTCAGGAAATATGCCTGCCTTGACCTCCCAAAGTGCTGGAATTATAGGTGTAAGCTGCTGCGCCTGGCCCCACAATTTTTTTAAAGAAGTAACTGGACACGCGTGATAGCAGACACCTCTGATACCATGGGACAAGAAGGGTACTTCATGTCTGTGGTCTCCGACCCCAAAACTCCTAACCCCAGTCTAAATATGAGAAAAACGTTGGACAAATCCAAACTGAGGAACATTCCGTAAAATCCACGTACAATCCCCAAACTCTCAAGATCATGAAAAACAAGGGGAGACAAAAACTGTCCCAGGCCAGAGGGGACTAAAGAGACATGAAAACTTGCTACAATGGAGGTATCCTGGAATGCATCTTGAAAAGGACGTTGCAGAAATACTGGTGAAATGTGAATAAAGCCTGGAGTTTAGACGCTAATAATGTACTGATGTTGCTTTCTTAGTTTCGACAAACATTCCATGGTCATGTAACATGTTGGCAATAGGGGAAATTGGATGTGGTGTGTACAGCTCTGTATAACCTTTGCACTTTTTCAGTACATTGGAAATTATTCTAAAATTTAAAAATTATTATTGGTCAGGCACCGTAGTTCATGCCTGTAATCCCAGCACTTTGGGAGGCCGAGGCAGGTGGATCACTTGAGCCCAGGAGTTCTAGATCAGCCTGGGCAACATGGTGAAACTCTATCTCTATTAAACATACAAAAATTAGCCAGGCTTGGTGGTGCATGCCACAATGCACAGTGCACAACCATAGCTCACTGGAGCCTCAAACTCCTGAGCTCAAGTCATCCTCCCGCCTCAACCTCCCAAGTAGCTAAGAATACAGGTGCACACAACTATGTCCAGCTAATTTTAAAAGTTTTTGTAGAGATAGGGTCTCGCTATGTTGCCCCTGCTTAAAAATTATTATTATTATTATTTTTTTTTTTTAGATGGAGTCACACTCTGTCACCCAGGCTGGAGTGCAGTGGTGCAATCTCGGCTCACTGCAACCTCTGCCTTCAGGGTCAAGTGATTCTCCTGCCTCAGCCTCCTCAGTAACTGGGATTACAGGCACACGCCACTACTCCTAATTTTTGCTTATTTTTGGTAGAGACGGGAGTTTCACCATGTTGGTCAGACTGGTCTCGAACTCCTGACCTTGTGATCAGTCTACCTTGGCCTCCCAAAGTGCTGGGATTACAGGCATAAGCCACCACACCCAGTCAAAAATTATGTTTTAAACTGCGCATGGTGGCTCATGCCTGCAATCCCAGCACATTGGGAGGCCGAGGCAGGAGGATCACTTGAAGTCAGAAGTTCCTTGCCAGCCTGGGCAACGTGGCAAGACCCAGTCTCTACAAAGACTGGGTGGTTTGGCCCTGGTGCAGTCACATAGCTCCCTGCTAACTGAGCTGAAATTAAAACCCACTCAGAGCCAGGCACAGTGGCTCATGCCTGTAATCCCAACACTTTGGGAGGCCAAGCCAGGTGGATCACCTGAGGTCAGGAGTTCGAGACTAGCCTGACCAACATGCAGAAGCCCCATCTCTACTAAAAATACAAAATTAGCCGGGCGTGGTGGCATATGCCTGTAATCCCGGCTAATCCGGAGGCTGAGGCAGGAGAATCACTTGAACCCGGGAGGCGGAGGTTGCGGTGAGCTGAGATCGAACAATTGCACTCCAGCCTGGGCAACAAGAGTGAAACTCTGTCTCAAAAATAAATAAATAGAACCCATTCAGTCTGGTTCCTATATGGCTCATGGGGCCTGTGGACTGGACTCTCCTTTTCCCTCCACACCCCATCTGCATTCAGTCCTCTGGTAAATCATGCAGATGGCACCTTCACAATGATGCTGAGGTGACACTGCTCACCACCTGCCTTCTCCTACCTAGTTTGAGCACCTTCATCACTTATCCGGACTAGCCAGCTGGTCCCCCTCTCCTTCCCGACAGTGCGATGTGGCCTGTTAACGCCCGAGCCACAGCTGAGCCCTCCTCTGCCCAGGACCCTCTGCTGGCTCCCCAGCTGCTCCGAGTAACAGCTAGAGCTTTGCACCAGCTGCAGGCCTTTGAAGCTGGGACTTCTCTCCCTGAGCTGCCTGCTGCTCTCCCCTGCTCACACCAGGCCGGATGCAAACTTCTCCTCTGGGTCTCAAGCATACGGATCACGCTCCTGCCTCAGGGCCTTTGCATGAGCCATTCCCACTGCCCGGAATGCTCTCTGGTCAGATAGCTGCTTGGCTGACCAATCACCTCCTACAAACCTTGTTCAGACCTTGCCTTGAACTCTTGGCTTCAAGTGATCCTCCTGTCTCGACCTCTCAAAGTGCTGAGATTATAGGCGCGAGCCACTGTGCCTGGCCCACAATTTTTGTTTTTTGTTTGAGACGGAGTTTTGCTCTTGTCGCTCTTGTCACTTGGCCATGCATCTAGAGGGCGTCCAGCACAGAGTATGTGCTCAATACACAGATGAAGAAGGACAATCCACGAGACAGCTGTCCCTCTCCCAGGACCCTGGGAAATGGTGGGGATGGGGAACATGTTCAGATGTCAAGAGGAAGAGGGTCTAGTGTCTGGGCTGTCATTTGAGTGCTCTTCCTGTTCACAGGAGTGGATGGGCTGCACAGATAGAGCAAAACCGAGATGAGTTTTAAGGGCCACTGAGCATCTTCCCCACTGGCAGCCTTTCCCAACGTCCAGGGAGATGCACAGCTGTCTCCTGTGTGGTCCTGGATCCCTGGAGGAGGGGCCAGGCTTGGAGGTGGAAGGAGAGCTCAGTGGCGAGGGGGCAGAGAAGGGACCGCCCAGATGTGACACATCTGGAGTCTCCAAATCTGTACCAGGACAGATGAGTAGAGCTGCATTTTTCCCACCCTGCTCATGTCAGCCTTTTATGAACTTTGTTTCTGCCCTGTGTGCATTGCCCTTAGGTATTCATTGCTACCTGTTATCACTGGAAGAAAAATGGCCATGGGCGTTCTGCCCCTCCTTCACCTCTCTCTTCTCCATCCCTTCCTTCTTCCTTCTTCATCTGTGTATTGAGCACATACTCTGTGCTGGACGCCTTCTAGATGCATGGCCATGTTGTCCTCATTGACGAGGCAAGATCTGAGCAAGGTTTGTAGGAGGTGATGGGTCAGCCAAGCAGATATCTGGGCAGAGAGCATTCCGGGCAGTGGGAATGGCTCGTGCAAAGGCCCTGAGGCAGAAGCGTGATTGGTATGCTTCAGGCCCAGAGGGGAGGTCTGCATCTGACCTGGTGTGAGCAGGGGAGAATGACAGGCAGCTCAGGGAGAAAAGTCCCAGGTTCAATGACCTGAGGGCATTGCAAAGCTTTAGCTCTTGCTCAGAGGAGCTGGGGAGCCATTGAGCAGTGCAAGAGCCAAACTGAATGGGTTCCAATTTCAGCTCCGCTAGCAGGGAGCTACATGACTGCACCAGGGCTGGGCCAACCCACCTGTGCATGAGTGACAGCACCCCACGGGTTCCAGAGCTCGCATGTCCATGATCCAGCTTAGTGCCTGGCACGCCAAGAATACTTGGGAAATGGCAGCTAAGAACTGCTGCCTCAGGAGGGTCTCTTCTCATTTCCAAAGCTGTCTTCTGTGTGGTGAAATGCATACAGACACTGGAGATACATCCAGAGACTGACCGAGTTCCCTGCCCTTGTGCTGCACTCCCCTCGAGGAGACAGATGATGGGGTCATGTAAGGAGCTAAAATATCCTGAGCTGGGAAGGAGGGAAGCAGGGGCTGAGGGATGGAGGCAGCTGGTGGGGGCAGGTGGGGGTGGCCGGGATGCCTGGAGCCCAGGACTAGGGCCGGACTCTGAACTGCTTTGCTTGGGGACCTACCTGGGCTCTAAGTCACTAGGACAGACAGTGGCCAGGGTGAGGCTGGCACAGTGCAACCCCTTCCCCACTGCTGAAGATGCCACCTTTGTGGGGTGGGAGCACAGGCTTTGGGGAGTTGAGAGGCATCCTCATCCTAGAGGTGGTTGTTTCTGGAAGCAAAAATCCAGGGTTTATGTTCTTGGGACAGGGGAACCCTGGGGCCTCACGTCCTCCCCATAACCTTCGCATTGGGCAGCGAAGGCGTCTTCCTGTTGAGTCTGAGGGAGATAGAAGTGGTGTCACTCGGGGTGTCAGCTTTCATCTCACTTAGTCCTCACAGTCGCCCTGCGAGGTAAGGACCACGATTAGCCCAATTTACACTGAGGCTCAGAGAAGTTACATGGTTTGCCCAAAGTGACACACTAAGTGGCTGAATGGGATTGAACCCAGGTCTTTTTTTTTTTTTGAGACGGAGTCTCGCTCTATTGGCAGGCTGGAGTGCAGTGGCATGATCTCGGCTCACTGCAACATCCGCCTCCTGGATTCAAGCAATTCTCCTGCCTCAGGCTCCCGAGTAGCTGGGACTACAGGTGTGCGCCACCATGCCTGGCTAATTTTTGTATTTTTAGTAGAGATGGGGTTTCACCATGTTGGCCAGGATAGTCTCGATCTCTTGACCTGGTGATCCGCCCATCTCGGCCTCCCAAAGTGCTGGGATTACAGGCGTAAGCCACCGCGCCCAGTCTGAACCCAAGTCTTTCTGAAACAGCCCAAGCTGTTGATGGAACCCTCTGGCTAACAGATGAGCAGGTAAAGTGAAACAAACACTTTAGAATGCTTTGGGGGTGGGGGTGTAGGGAATTGAGCCTTGTATGGGGCCTGAAAGATTTATAGTTGTCCCTTGGTGTGTGTAGGGGAATCAGTTTCACCACTTCCCACAAATACCAAAATCCACAGATGCTCAAGTCCTGATATAAAATGGTGCAGGATTTGCATACAGCCTAAGTACATCTTCCCGTAGACTTTAAATCATCTCTAGATGACTTATGCAATCACGTGTCAGGTAACGATATTTCAGTCCATGCCAGAATGCATATAGGATGGTGGTCCCATAAGATTATAATGGAACTGCCCTATACAGGTGCACATCACTAAAAATTGATATCTCAAAAGAGATAGAGTCTTTTTATGTTTCCCAGACTAGTCTAGAAGTCCTGGGTTCAAGTGATCCTCCCAGCACGGCCTCCTAAAGTGCTGGGATTGTCGGTATGAACCACTACACCTGGCCAGGTGTACAATTTTTTATCATTTATACTGTATTTTTATGATCCTTTTCTGTGTGTAAATACACAAATAGCCACCATTGTTTTTGTTTGTTTGTTGTTTGAGACAGAGTTGCACTCTTGTTGCCCAGGTTGGGGTGCAATGGTGCGATCTTGGTTCACTGCAAGCTCCACCTCCCAGGTTCAAGAGATTCTCCTGCCTCAGCCTCCCAAGTATTTGGGATTACAGGTGCCCACCACCATGCCGGGCTAATTTTTTGTTGGGGTTTCACCGTGCTGGCCAGGCTGGTCTCAAATTCCTGACCTCAGGTGATCCAGCCGCCTTGGCCTCACAAAGTGCTGGGATTACAGGCTTGAGCCACCACGCCCAGCCCACAAATAGCCGCCATTGTGTTACCATTGCCTATGGTACTCAGTATGGTAACATGTTGTAGAGGTTTGGAGCCCAGCAGCAATCGCTTCTGCTATTCAGTCCAGGTGTGTGTTTGGCTGTAGCCTCTGGAGGAAGCTCAGGAGCAGTGACCTAAAGGCAGAGGGTGAGTCTGAGGTGGGATCCCAGGACAGGTACAAGAAGTTAGGCAAAAGTGGATGAAATCTGAATAAATTTCACTGTGTTAATATAATTACTGCATTAATAACCTTAGATAATAGCTAATGTTATTATTTAGTTAACAGGAGTACATCTATGTTAAATTAATTTTTTTAAAGAGGTGAATTCTCACTCTGTCACCTAGGCTGGAGTGCAGTGGTGCGATCATAGCTCACTGCTTCCTGGAACTCTTGGGCTCAAGCAATCCTCCGGCCTCAATCTCCTGATTAGGTGGGACTATAGGCACCCACCACCATGCCTGGCTAATCTTTTTCACTTTTCTCTAGAGACAGGGTCTACCTATGTTGCCCAGGCTGGTCTCAAACTCCTGGGCTCAAGTGAACCTGAACATCCTGCCTCAACCTCTCAAATTGCTGGGATTACAGGTGTGAGCCACCACAGCCAGCCTAAATGTCTTAGTTTGGACAAATGTGCCATGGTAATGCAAAGTGTTATTACTAGGGGCAACTGGGTATAAGGTGTAGAGTACACTATAGTGTCTTTTCAATTTTTCTATGTATCTAAAATCATTTCAAAAGTAAACATTTGGCCGGGCGCGGTGGCTCACGCCTGTAATCCCAGCACTTTGGGAGGCCGAGGCGGGCGGATCACAAGGTCAGGAGATCGAGACCATGGTGAAACCCCGTCTCTACTAAAAATAGAAAAAAAAATTAGCCGGGCGCAGTGGCAGGCGCCTGTAGTCCCAGCTACTCGGGAGGCTGAGGCAGGAGAATGGCGTGAACCCGGGAGGCGGAGCTTGCAGTGAGCCGAGATTGCGCCACTGCACTCCAGCCTGGGCGACAAAGCGAGACTCCGTCTCAAAAAAAAAAAAAAAAAAGTAAACATTTATTTTAAAACATGAAGGTGGTTATCCTTCCATGAGTGTAAAGTACAAAACACAGGCTCACGGTGTCATCAGAAGTCAGAACACTGGTTGTGGGCCCGGGTGCGCTGGAGCGGCTGGCCATGGTTGGCTTTGTGATCTGGGGGTTGGTGTGTTCCATCTGTGAATGTCTTTTGAGCTGCACACTTACCAGGAGATAAGTCATGTCTTAATAAATTTTCTTTCTTTTTTTTTTTTTTTGAGATGGAGTTTCGCTCTGTCGCCCAGGCTGGAGTGCAGTGGCGCAATCTCAGCTCACTACAAGCTCCGCCTCCCAGGTTCATGCCATTCTCCTGCCTCAGCCTCCTGAGTAGCTGGGACCACAGGCACCCGTCACCACGCGTGGCTAATTTGTTTGTATTTTTAGTAGAGACGGGTTTTCACCATGTTAGCCAGGATGGTCTCGATCTCCTGACCTCGTGATCCACCCGCCTCGGCTTCCCAAAGTGCTGGGATTACAGGCGTGAGCCACTGCGCCCGGCCTTAATAAATTTTCTTAAGTTTAACACCAAATAAAACGAGGATGAGAAGCTCGTTCGAGTTGTGGGGATTTGGGTGCTTATCCAGCCATGAGCCCTGGCCTAGATGCCTCTAGAAGCCTGGAGGGAACTGAGAACATTCCAAGTAGAGGTGGCAGAGCCAAGGCCCTGAGGTGGGAACACACTGCTGCACGTCTCTCGCTGTGAATGAGGTGCCCTGGTCGGAAGCAGTGCTGTGTGCCCTGCAGGGCCGGCAAGTCCGTGTCCACATTGTGACTCAGTGCAGTGAAAGCCAATCTCAGCCCCCTCCGCAGTGTGATCAGCCTGCCAGCAGGTGGCCAGCTGGTCCTCCTGGGAAACTGTGCCACCCAGGGACTGGGTGCGAGTCTCTTGTCCACAGACAGGGCACTCAGCAGTGGTGTCAGCCTGGTGAGCCTTGGTAAGGGCACGTGCAGGATGCTGAGCCTCTCCCGTCCCCATGACCGTCTGAAGGCCACTTGCTTAGTGGGCATATCCAGCAGGCGTGGTGGACGGGAAAGAAGCAGGCTCCATCCACAGGGCGTGCCGTTTTGTTCAACTCAGGACCCAGAGCATCCTCCATAGTAATTCTCTTTGGTGGGAGCACTGGGAACATGAGCCACAGATACCTTCCGAGTCTGAACTGCTGAGGCGAGGGCCGCAGGGCACCGGGCTGTCAGGAAAGCCTGCCCTGGCAGCTGGAAGGCATGTGGTGGGGGCGCCTGCTGCAGCTGCGGCAGTGACTGTGAGGCTTCAGGATGTCGTCCGGCTTCTGCGAGGTGAATTGTGACAGTGCAGAGCTCTGCAGTGCCGGGGTCCCCTGCAAGGTCATGCTGACTGCAGCTGGGAGCCCACCACACCCCTGGTGCCCCTCTCTTCCCAGGGCTGGGGTCTAGGCCAGACCCCTCTTGGCTTGGGAATTGTGCCCTGGGAGGCGGACACTGTCCCACAGGTGGGGACAGAGGCCCCAGGCATGCTGCTGGCTGGCCGGGACTGCAAGGACATCATACTCACGTTTCTCTCTCGTGGCCTTGATGGGACCGGCTTCCCCATTGAACAGGATTTTCCAAGGTGTCTGGGGCTGTGGTGCAGCTTGCGGGGTGCCACACTGACTCCTTCCAGACATGCCAGTCACTGGCCACCAAGAGGGCCAGATACAGGTGCCATGCTGCAGTGGGGGTATCTCCCGACCTCCCTTTTAGCCCTGATGAGCCTGGGCAGGGCCTGGTGTTGGGGTCGCCATGGACTTCCTGGGCTAGGCCGTCCCATGTGTCCAGGACACATTTGGAAGGGACTTGGACCCAGCAGCTCTGTTCAAAATCATAACGGGGGCAACAAGGACCCCCCACATCCAAATTCATAGGAAGCTGTGGCATGGAGTTCCACTGGAGGAACCTCCAGGAAACCCAAGGTCCCCCATGAGCCAGGGCCAGACTGGGCACACCCTGAGTCCCCAGTGCCCCCAGAGAATGGCCTGCTGCCCTGGGTTCCATGGAAGCCTCCTCATGCCACTGGGCCTTGGCCTCATGGACAGTCCCATCAGGATGGGGTGTGAAAGGACGAGGCGCCCATGGCGGGGAAGCTGACCAAATGGGCCACTGGAACCAGGTTGGTGGCCAGGAGGGGCCTGCCTATCCCCCTGCCAGAGGGTCTTCCTGCCAGGTGAAGCCAGCACAGGCCTGGGTGTCAAGGACCCTTGCTCGGGTTTGGCTGAAAGAAAAACAGACGTGGTCAGCATCTCCGGTGAGCCTCTGCAGTCCTTTCTGGGCCGGGCTCCACCTGCCTGGGTCTTTGGAGTCCTCAGGGTCTCTGTGTGGCCCCTGTGGTCTGACACTGAGGACACACCTGCAGGCTGCTGATCCCAGAGGGAGGGGTCTGTGCCTCCTGTGGTGGGAAGCTGTCGGGGTACAGCAGGTGGCTTCTGGGACTGCCCTCCCCCAGGGTTCAGTCTGACTGGGGGCTTCCTGCTCCACGCCCTCATCCCAAGACTGCTGGGCCTGGGATATAGCCTCCAGTGAGAACTCAGGTGGGAGGGGCCTTGGATGTCACCCAGCCCCCTTGCCACCTCACATGGGTACCTGTCTCCATGGTGGGTGAGAGAGCCCAGATACAGAGCCCCCTCTGCCCTCCTGGGCTGCCCAGTCCATGCCAGGACTGACTGTTTCCACACCTGGCTGAACTCTTGGCTCCGGCTCTGGTCCAGGGGTCCCCCCTGTGCCCACCCCCTAAACGCTCTGGGGGGGTTCAGGACACAGATTCCCTTGTCTCCCTGGCTCAAGGCTTGTTGTCCTGGCACCCTTGGAGGGGTGTTCAGGAGTGAGGGCCCTCTGCTGCTCTCTGAGGCTGTCAGTGCTCGCAGGGAGGGGTGGGGGATCCCACAAATGGATCTGGCCCCTCCAGTGCCCTTGAGGGCCCTTTGAGGGGGAGAGTGGGACATGGTGGAAAGTGGGAGGGGGCTTGTTGGAGAGTCTTGCCCACATCCCACTCCTGCTTGTGCAGCACGTCCAGTACACATGCACTGATTGCCTGCCCTGAGGACCAGGGGGCCTATTGTACTTTCTTAGAGTCCAGGAGGAAGAGGAGGGAGAACAGGTGAAGAGAAAGGCCCAGGTAGTAGTGTTGGGGGTCCTGGGCACTTCCCGACTACTGACTGCCCCAGAGGGTGACTCGGGAGGGGACCTGGTACTGCAGCCCATCTGGAGGTGGCAGATCCCCACGCTTCCTTGTTAGTTTCCTCATAGAGGTCCGAGGGTGTCTGAGAACTACATCGTCATCCAGCGCCCAGCTATGGGAGAACTGGTCCTGAAAACACGCCCACGGCCACCCCTGGACATCTTCATGAGGTGCTTTAGGGACAGGGTGGGCATCAGGCCAGGAAAGTTCCCTGGGAGGGGTCAGAGCCCATACCCCGTTGCTACCTCAGCCACCTCCCACTGGGGAGTGCCGGATCCCTTTGTGGCCACCCCAGGGTTCCAGATGTGCACAGGAGACTGTGGCTGGGGGGCAGCCTGCCCAGAGAAGTGCTCACCACACTCCTGACTTTCATCTGGGTCATGTGGGGGATGGGCTCCTACAGGAGGGTGTATGTCACTCTTCCCTGCCCAGCCCACCCAGCCAGACCTCCCTCTGGGCCAGGGCAGAGGATCGTGGGGACAGTGTGAGGAAGCTGCCACTGGGCCAGTCGGGGTCTGACCCCTGTGCTCCCCAGACCCCACTGGGCACACGTGGACTTACTCCTCTGAACCTTAAAGACAGTGAGTGCCTTTGGCATCAACACCTATTCCTCTTCTAACAAATACACGTCCCAAAGGCTCAGGGTGAGCCCGAGAGAGATCTGTGGGGACACCAGGTGTGGGAGGACCTAGCCCTTCCAAGCTGGGGCTGGTGGCTCAAGCTGGGCCCACTGAGGCTTCAGTCCCCCAGTCACTGACCCTTCTCTTGAGGGTCATCAGATCCCTTCAGGAGGCTGGGTCAGACAAGGTCTTGCAGCTCCTTGTGGGGGAGCACTCATTTCAATGGGGATGTGGCTTCTGGAGAGAGGGGCTTCCCCAGGACTTGAGGCTTCCTTGAGCCCTCCCAAGTGGGTCCTGGCCCAGTTTGCCCATGAGGCTGGTCCTGAGCCCCAACCTCTGCTGTGGGATGGCCCGTCTTCGGCAGAGGGCTTTACTTGTGTGTACTGCAGATATCTACCTGAGACTCCTGTGGGCTGGGAGTGAGCCAGACCCCTGGGCTGGGGGAGCAGGGCCCTGCAGGGCAAGGAGGGTCCCTGAGCCAGAGTTTCCCTGTGCCCCCTTATCCCCTCGATCAAGCTCCAAAGAAACCAACCTAATGAGGAACCCTGAACGCATAGCCCTTCCTTGTCCTGATGGGAGGAACAGAGGTGCTCAGGTCCCTCTGGGTTGCCCTAAAAACCTCCCTCTTCCAGGGCCCTCTGAAGATCCTTCCCCAAGTGCAGAACACTGGGCGGTGTCCAGGGCTCCTTACACCTCCCCCTTCCCACACTCCTGGCGGACACACTGTCCTTAGCCCTGCTCTACGGGAACTAGCCCCAGTCCCTGTGCCTCTGTCTCCTCCAGGGCAGGAAAGGAAACCCAACTCCAGATCCATGGAGAACCCCACGTCCCAGGTCAGGCCGTGGCTGGAACTCAGCCTCTCACCAGCCCCACCAGGGTCTCCAGCCCCTGGCTCCTCCGGCCCCACAGGATGCAGAGCCTCTGGGGAAGAGCTAGGGGGACCATAAACTCACTGCGTGCCTCATGGTCTTGCGGTATGACGTGGGTGCCACATATTCCTAGTGGTCTTGGAGTCCCTGGACCCTTGTGATATTTGGGCTGTGGAATCCCGAGAAGCCCCCAGCCCATCATGAAATCCGCCCGCTCCCAAGATGTGGAACCATCAGCTGGAAGAGCTGGACAGCTGCAGAGGCCCCTGAACCCCGAGGCCTCCCACCCTCCCATCTGGTGAACCCGCCATGTGGCCTTGGCCCTGGGGACGAGGGGTGGGAATATCCCCTGGTGCCTGGCTGGAGGTGCTCCTGGAGGCCTCCCCGACCACGGTGCTTGGAGGGCAAGCCTGACTTTGAGGCCATGACAAAGGGCGGGTGCTGGACTTTGTGATGCTCTCCTGGAAGTGGGCTCAGGCCAGGGGAGACGGGATGGGGAGATGCTGCCATCAGGGTTTTATCAGCCCATCTTTGGGTACCAAGGGCAGCTGGAGCCCGGCCAGCTGGAGGGCAGGACTCTCAGGGAGGGGAGAGTCAGTTCACAGAATCAGAGCCAGAGGGCATGGCTCCAGGATGCAGAGGGTGGCCACGGGGACGATGAGATGCCCTCTGCTGATAGGGGTGAAAGGCATCTGACTCAGGATCTGGGGGTCCCCATTCAGCTCCGAGCCCCTGTGGGACCCTTAACAGAGACATCCTAAAGGCTCCAAACAAGCTGGCAACACAAAGAAGGTGCCTTCGCTGAAAGTTGAGATCACCTGCCCAGGGTGGCCGCCCCTAGGTCTGGCTGTGTGAGGCCCTGAGGGCAGCTGTCCACCTACCCTGTGGGGAGTGCCTCTCAGCAGCCAGCAGCTGGGCCAGTGCCCAGAATATGTCCTCCTCAGGCAGATAAAGGAGGAACAAGGTGGTGACGTGGCTCAGGTCCCTGCAGTAGCCCACCTCCTGAGAGAGCCAGAGTTATGGTGGAAAGATGTCACCTGGGAAGGCTGAGGTCACCTGGGAGGACTCATGTCATCGGAGAGAGCAGAGGTGACTGGGGAAGCTTCCTCTGAAGAAGAGGCTTCCTCAGGATGCAAATTCATTTTGTGACAAGAGCCATGTCCATCAGGCAGTTCAGCAACGTGTCCAAAATGTCTCCAGAGAGCACTGTTCTGTGTGCGACACTGCCGAGCTCCGGAGAGCACTGTTCTGTGTGCGCGACACTGCCGAGCTCTGGAGAGCACTGTTCCGTGTGCGCGACACTGCCGAGCTCCGGAGAGCACTGTTCCGCGCGCGACACTGCGACTCGAGAGCACTGTTCCATGTGACTTTGCCGAGCTCGGAGAGCACTGTTCATGTAGCGACACTGCGAGCTCCGGAGAAGCACTGTTCAGCGACACTGCGAGCTCGGAGAGCACTGTTCCTTGTAGCGACACTGCCTGCCGAGCTCCGGAGAGCACTGTTCCACGCGCGACACTGCCGAGCTTCGGAGAGCACTGTTCTGTGTGCGACACTGCCGTGCTTTGGAGCCCAGTGGTTGCCTTTGGTTCCTGGATCCAGGGAGACTTCTGGAGCCTGTGCCTGGGGCTTTCTAGGGGTGGAGGTGGTAGGGCAGGGAAAAGGGCGGGAGAGGAGGCCTTGCATGGTAGAGTTCAGGGCAGGAAGCGAGCCAGGGACCCATTTGCAGTGACTGCTCCCATCCCCACCCCCACCTCCAAACCCACCCCTACCCTACCCAGGTGCAGGGTCGGGCCTGGGCGGGTGTCCTCTGCTTTGGCCTCAGCAGATCACAAGGAGGAAGCCGGCAGCCCGGCGGGTGCACCACTCGAGCCAATGGTGACCTACAGCTTCTGCTTCATGGAGTGTGGGGCACCCTCCCAGGAAAGCCCAGGCACGCCCCACACCACTGACCTTGAGGGCATGGGGAGGTGGGGGACCGAGGTTCTGCAGCCCTGTGCATGTGTCCTGAAAGGTGGCCTAGGAATCCTGTGTGCACCCGTCCAGGGGGGCCCAGAAGCCCCATTGGCAGGGAGGGAGACGAGGAGGGAGAGAGAAGTGGAGAAGAAGGAGAGAGAAAGAGAGAGGGGGAGAAGGGAGTGAGATCGCGAGAGAAGAAGAGCGATGGGGAGAGAGACAGAGGAGGCTGAGAGGAAGAGGGAGAGAGATAGGGAGAGAGACATAAAAGGCAAAAAGAGAGACAGGGAGAGAGAGGTGCATGAGTAGGAGTTCAGGTCACTCTTGATGCCGGTTCCCAGTGCAAACTTCGGTTGCTATCACCTGTCCACACATGCAGTAAAGTCTTCTGCCTGCTGCTTATAGCCCCCAAGAACCCCTTCTACTGGAGAATAAAATCTTTTTTTTTCTTTTTTTTTTTTTTTGTGTGTGAGATGGAGTCTTGCTCTGTCAGCCCAGGCTGGAGTGCAGTGGCGTGATCTCGGCTCACTGCAAGCTCCACCTCCCGGGTTCACGCCATTCTCCTGCCTCAGCCTCCCAAGTAGCTGGGACTACAGATGCCCGCCACCACGCCCAGCTAATTTTTTGTATTTTTAGTAGAGACGGGGTTTCACCGTGTTAACAAGGATGGTCTCTATCTCCTGACCTCGTGATCCACCCGGCTCGGCCTCCCAAAGTGCTAGAATTACAAGCATGGGCCACTGCACCTGGCCTCCCTTTCCTTTCTTTGATTCATTGTTTGAATCTTTTGAGGACTGAGCAAGTGTGAAGTTCAACTGCATAGTGCCTTCACTCCTGACAGTCACATTCTCGGTAACTGGATTATACCTATAATAAAGGAGATAGATCAGAACCACACTCCTTTAGCTGGGGTACCCAAGCCCTGGGGAAACAGGTATGCACAGAACGTGTGGATCCTTCAGATAAATGTGGTGCCTCTTCCTAAAGAGATGAAATTTTAATGTTGAGTAACTTATTATTTTTTAACACATTGATTAATAAAGAACAGACATGGATATACTACAAAATATGAACAGGTTTTTTTAAAATATTTTTTTTCTTTTTGAGATGGAGTCTCCCCCCATTGACCAGGCTGGAGTGCAGTGGTGTGATCTCAGCTCACTGCAACCTTCGCCTCCTGGGTTCAAGTGATTCTCCTGCCTCAGCCTCCCGAGTACCTGGGATTACAGGCGTGCACCACCACAGCTAGCTAATTATTGTATTTTTAATAGAGACGGGATTTTACCATGTTGGCCAGGCTGGTCTCGAACTCCTGACCTCAAGTGATCGACCCGCCTCAGCCTCCCAAAGTGCTGGGATTATATGGGTGAGCCACTGTGCTCGGCCTAGGTTTTTAAGAGTAAGTAAATGACTTCAAAAGAAAGTTCTTGTAGTGGATACTCGCATGTCTCCTGGGATTTGAATTCACTTGTCTCCCATCAGGGTATATGGGTGGCAGGGCGCGGTGGCTCACACCTGTAATCCCAGTACTTTGGGAGGCCGAGGTGGGTGGATCACTTGAGGTCAGGAGTTTGAGACCAGCCTGGCCAACATGGCAAATCCCTGTCTCTACTAAAAATAGAAAAATTATCCTGGTGTAGTGGCAGGTGCCTGTATATATTAATGCTTATTGCAATATTTTTCATAGCAAAAAAGAAAACAACTAAAGTGTTTATCAGTAGGGAATTTATTAAATTGTGATAGTTATAAGCTAATATTCTATTCAGCTATTAAAAGGAACGATGTAGATTTCTATTTACTAATATGGAAAGATTGCTTGATACTTTATGAACTACAAAAAGCAGGGTGCACATCAGAATGTATAGTATGATTTATCTGGCAAAGTGAACGAAGTAATAGATAAACTTGTATATGTAAAAATGTATTTCCTGGCTGGGCACAGTGGTTCACGCCTGTAATCCCAGCACTTTGGGAGGCCTAGGTGGGTGGATCACCTGAGGTCAGGAATTCCAGACCAGCCTGACCAACATGGAGAAACCCTCTCTACTAAAAATAAAAATGTTAGCTGGGCTGTGGTGGTGGGCGCCTGTGATCTCAGCTACTCAGGAGGCTGAAGCACAAGAATTACTGGAACCCAGGGGGCAGAGGTAGCAATGAGCTGAGATCATGCCAGTGGCACTCCTGCCTGGGTGACAGAGTGAGACCCTGTCTCAAAAGAGAAGGGAAGGGAAAGGAAGGGAGGGAAGAGGAGGGAAGGGGAGGAGAGTCACAGAAGACCACCTGTTGTATGATTCCGTATATATGAAGTGCCCAGAATAGGCAAATCCATAGAGATAAAGCAGATTAGTGGTTGTCAAGAGCTGGGAGGGGAGGAAGGAATGGGAAGTGTCTGTTAATGGGCATGAAGAGTCCTCTGGGGATAATGACACTGTTCTGAAATTAGTGGTGATGGTTGCACACCTTTGTGAATATACCAAAAACCACTGATCTGTACATTCTACAAGGATGAATTGTATGTATGTGAATTATATCTCAATAAAGTTGTTGTATTTTAAGAAAGGAAACTCTATCCCGCCTTTCCTCAATGAACCATATTTTCAGGTAACTGCGTTACCCTGGTTGATGCGGGGAATTCCTGTTTACAGAAGAATTCCAGCTCATAGATGTGGAAAGAATGATATAAATGCATTATATTACAACCCCTAATGAAATCAATGACTCAGAGATCTTCAAAAGAAAAACCCATTGCTTGGAAGGTTGATGGGGAAATTCCCAAAGGCGAAGTCTAATTGCTGCCACGCACCCCCACCAAGGGAGCCCATGATGTGACTTCCCAGAAGCACTCAGCAAAACCTGTGAAATGCTCCTCCCAAAAAAAGCTGAATCTGGGCCGGGCCTCGTGGCTCATGCCTGGAATCCCAGCACTTTGGGAGACCAAAGTTCAAGGACTGCTTGAGCCCAGGAGTTCGTGCTCAGCCTGGGCAACATAGAAAGACACTGTCTCTATATAAAAAAAAATAATAATTAAAAAGTTAGCCAGGCACGGTGGTGCATACCTGTAGTTCCAACTACTTGGAAGCCTGAGGCCGGAGGATTGCTTGAGCCCAGGAGTTTCAGGCTGCAGTGAGCCATGATCACACCACCACACTCCAGCCTGGGTGACAGAATGAGATCCTGCCTCTAAAACATAATAATAACAATAATAAATTTTTAAAAATTAGACCCAGGCCTGGGTGTGATGGTTCATGCCCATAATCCCAGCACTTTGGGAGGCCGAGGCAGGTGGATCACTTGAGGTCAGAAGTTCAAGATTAGCCTGGCCAACATGGTGAAGCGCCACCTCTACTAAAAATACAAAAATAAGTTGGGCGTGGTGGCGCGTGCCTGTAATCCAGCTACTCGGGAGGCTGGGGCATGAGAATCACTTGCACCTGGGAGGCAGAGGTTGCAGTGAGAGAAGATTGCACCACTGCACCCCAGCCTGGGTAACAGAGTGACACTCTGTCTCAAATAAATAATAAAACGTTAGACCTGAATCTACTGAGACCTTGAGGGCTTATTTACAGGAAAGAGAGAGACAGAGAAGCTAGTTAAATGACAGTATAAGGAAGCATAATTCCAGTATAATTATAGTAGAATTCCAGAATGTGGGAATGCTATGGGACAACAGGCTCTATTTTTGGTTCAAGGCAACAAGAGGGAACAAACGAAAAACAAGGAAAGGAAAGACTTTGGAATAAAAGTGACTCAAAAGACAATTTTAAAAACACCACCACACAATTGTGACTGTGGTGGGAGGACTTTGTATGGATCCTGATTTGAACAAAGCAATCATAAAAAGATACTTGGAGACAATTAGCAAAATTTGATTATGACTGAATATTAAATTATTCCAAAGAATAATTCTGAATGTTGTTAGGCATGATCAGGGCATTGTGGAATATTTACAGATGCACACTGAAATATCATCTTCATGCACGCCGCAATGACATGATCTGGGATTTGCTTTAAAATACTTCTTCAGGTTGGGCGCAGTGGCTCACGCCTATAATCCCAGCACTTTGGAAGGCTGAAGCGGGCAAATCACCTGAGGTCAAGAGTTCGAGACCAGCCTGGCCAACATGGCAAAATCCCATCTCTACTAAAAATACAAAAATTAACCAGGTGTGGTGGCAGATGCCTGAGGTCCCAGGTACTCAGGAGGCTGAGGCAGGAGAATCACTTGACCCTGGGAGGTGGAGATTACAGTGAGCCAAGATCACACCACAGCACTCCAGCCTGAGCAACAGAGTGAGACTCCATCTCAAAAAAAAAAAAAGAAAGGAAGAATATATTAAGAATATGTAGCAAAACCTAACTATTGAATCTGGATGATGGAAATACAGAAAATGTCTTATTACTTTCACTTTTGTGTAATTTATAACATTTTCAAAAATGGACGGG